CTTTTCTTCTGATCTCACTCAATCCTATTATATGCCAATTTGTGTTTTTTAGTTCTTCTAGCAATTCCTCTAATTTCTCATCTTCTCTCAAAGTTCTACAGTTATAGGTCAGTATTTCAAGCATTTTTTTATTATGATGTCGATTTATCTTTTGCATCTTTTCTCCTTTATTTTGTATATTCTGTGTGTTTAGCCAGGTTGGAGGGTAGTATGTTTCCATTTTCGATTTTCTTATTTTTGCCATGGTCGTTATATTTGAGTGTAGATTGGTATTATAATTTAATTGCTAGACATTGTCATTTTGTGTGTTTTTCGTTGCTGTCTCTACTTTTGTGTTTTACTTGTTTAAGTCCTCTGCAGTGAACGAGTGCGACTTTAGTCTCATAAAATAACTATCAATTTGCTTTTGGAGGTCAGGTGTACTTATTCCTCTACACTCTGTTCTCTCGTTCATTTTTTTAATCTGTTAATCGTTTTTGTTTTAATCGATTATTTCTAAATCATCAATTGATTCTACGGTTTATTTATAATTAGTCTTTTAAAATTTTAATTAATTCTCTTTAAATCATTGTTAACCCCATCTGGCGGTTATAATCCGTATTAATGGTATAACATTTCAAAATCACTGCTTACTTTTTTCCTAAACTTATCATATTTAACGATAAAAAAAGACTAATTGAACCGAAACGTTCCATTAATTTTAAATCCACAATTAATTCTATGATTTATTTATGATTAGTCTTTTAAAATTTAAGAAAAATCCTCTTAAAATAATCACTATCTCCATCTAGCGGTTATAATCGGAATTACTAGTAAATTTGATTTTTTAAATTTTTGACTTTTTTTATTAAATTTAAACAAACAATAACAATTAAAACAACAAACCAAGTAAGTCGATTAATTTTAAATCATTAATTATATAATTTATTTCTATTTTTCAAACATTAAATAATTTTTAAATCATTAGTAACCCCATCTAGCGGTTATAACCCGTATTAATAGTAAATTTGACATTTCAAAATCACCGGTTGCATTTCTTCCTAAATTTATAAAATTTAACGATAAGACAATATCAATTGAGTCGAAACGTTAATCGAAATACGTTTTTAAACGCCCAAACTGTGTATTTAAAGTGATATTAGATTCCGCGAAGTGATTTTTTCCGTCCTAATTATTCAGTGAAATTTCATCGGAAAATATAACCTAAATCTTAATACGTCAATTTTACATTTAAGGATTTAAAACGAAAATATAGTAAGTCGGTTTTATTAATTATCAATTAATTCCATAAATCGGATTTAATTAATAAATAATTCGTTAAAAAAATCAAAATTTTAAACATACCAGTGTCATCTAGTGAACAATAGCGGTACTAAAAATTCACTTAATATGCAAAATTTGTATCCGTTATTTCTTACTCCAACTTTACGCTTTAAGTAAGTGTTAAATAAGCAAGAAAATCGCGCGAAGAACATTTTCTCGTAGTATCAAGGTAAGAAAATTTTTATGTTTATAATTTTTTTATAAAAAAACTTGACAACCAAAATGCTGTCAATAGAAATGTCAAATTTATAAAATGTCAGAAATCACCAAATTTACTAAAAATCGCGATTGGATTGGTTTTGCTGTTTAATATTATTAATAAATTAACTTTTCGTTTCTTCATTTTCATTATAGTTCATTTTTTTTGAATTATTACCCACCATTACCATGCTATTAGTTTGGTGTTCTTCTTCGTCTTCCTCCTCCTCTGATTTGTTTTCTTGTATTTCCCTTCCATTAACAATAAGTTTATCATATTTTATGAATGCCCTTTCTCTGTTTTCTCTAAGTTTTTTCATTGCTGGGACTAGGTTCTTCTGTTTTAGTTGTATATCTTTCAGGAGATTCCTCATGCTTTCCCAAGCTTTCCTTAAGGCAATGAGTTTTATCAGTATAGGTCTAATTTTCCCATCCTCTTTTATTCCTATTCTTGTCATAGTTGCATTATTTGTACTTTTAATTGTTTATTAATTATGTTCATCACCATGTTTTCCAACGCATTGAGATTCCCCTCCTCTTCCGATATTCCCATCAATATTACGTTTCTTCTTCAGTCCTCTCTTTCATTCTGTTTTAACTTATGATCATGTTGTGTTACTGTTATTTTCATCTCTTTTACTTCTTTCTCAGTCTAATTAAACCTTGCATGAGAATCTTGCCGTAGATTATTTATATTTTCATGTACTTTTTGAAATTCGTTCTGAATTTTGGGTGGAGCAGCCAAAATTTCCGTTGCATTGCTCATGTTTTGTATATCGTTTTAATAAATTTAGTTTTCTTGTTTATTTTCCAGAAAATAGATGGCGCTACTTTTATCTTTGTATTTCCTTAATAAGGTTATTATCTTCTAGTAGACCGAAAAGAAATATTCTTAAACTTTAAAAAATCATGCCTACTTTATTTCTAGGAATTAAGTAAAGACTTTAATTTTAAATTAAAGCTTTCACTTTAATCTATAAGTCTATGTATAATAAGTAATACGTTTGATGATAAAGTTTGCTTGTAAAATCGAAAAATGTTAATGTTTAATTATGGTAAAATCGAAAATATTTGCTAAACTTTAAAAAATCATACCAATTTTATTTATAGAAATTAAGAAACGACTTTTATCATCTTAAATTAAAGCTTAAAGTTTAATTTTTAAGTCTATATGTAATAAGTAATACGTTTGATGATAAAGTTTGTTTGTAAAATCGAAAAATGTCTGTTTAATTATGGGAAGAAACGAAAATATTTATTAAACTTTAAAAAGTCACACCGATTTTATTTATAGGAATTAAGAAACGACTTTTATCTTAAATTAAAGCTTAAACTTTAATCTTTAAACCCCTTACTCGTTACGTGTGATCTAGGCTTAAGTCTCTTTATAATACATAATAAGTGTTGGAAGGAAAGGTCAGATATGGGAAAGGAGACAGAGACGAAGGGTGGGTAGAGAGATGTGGAGGGACTTGAGAGATAGGGACCGAGATGTGCAGAGACAGGAAAGAAGGACACAAATAAAAGAGGGAAGGTATAACAAAAGGTATAGGGCAGTGGTGTCCACTAATTTTTGACCAAGATCGACTTTTCATATAAATTTCTTCATCACAAGTTCAGAACATTCTTCATGGCCGCTTTCTTCTAAGTATACTTTAAAAAGCCTTCTTTGTAAACTTTTGCCCGGATAGAATTTCTGATTTTAAAAACTATGGTCATGATTTCTTGCATATTGAGAATTTTAGAGCATAACATAAATATCTATATTATAGATATTTCAGATTCATGATTTTGTTGGCGATCGACTCAAAATGGCTTCGTGATCGACCAGTTGATCGCAATCGACTTTATGGACACCACTGGTATAGGGACATAATTACGGAGGGGCTGCCTAGATACTTGTTATTGGAAGGAGATAAGAAAGGGAAGAAGTGGATGGCGAGGTTCCATTGTGGAAACGATGAGAGAGCTAACAGATACTGGATGGCCGATGAGGAGAGGTGGTGTAGGCTGTGCAGGGAGGAATGGGAACGTTGAAGCATATGTTGAATGGGTGAGGGAGGAGGAGATGGACCGAGGGCAAATCTAGGGAGAGGGGAAGCGATGGATGAGAGGGGTTGTGGAGACAAAGAGATGGTGGTGGCGCGGAAGAATAGAGGTTTTGTGTGGATAGTGGGGGATTTAGACAGGGAGCAGATTTTGGGAGAGGGAGGTGAGGTTAGCCGAGGGTGTGGAAATGGCGGACGAGGGTAGAGGGTGCAAATAATATTTGAATGATGTAAAAAAATTGTAAACATGTTATTGTATACAATAAAACTCTTAAGTAAGTAATAAATAATATGTTTTATGATAAAGTTTGTCAATGCTTAATTATGGGCAGAAACAAAATATTTATTAAAATTTAAGAAATCATACCGACTTTATTTCTAGGAATTAAGAAACGACTTTTATCTTAAATTAAAGCTTATGCTTTAATCTTTAAGTCTATGCATAATAAGTAATACGTTTGATGATAAAGTTTGTTTGTTAAATCGAAAAATATCAATGATAAATTATAGAAAGAAACGAAAATATTTGTTAAACTTTAAAAAATCGTACCGACTTTATTTGTAGGAAATAAGAAACGACTTTTATCTTAAATTAAAGCTTAAACTTTAATCTTTAAGTCTATGCATAATAAGTAATACATTTGATGATAAAGTTTGTTTGTAAAATCGAAAAATATCAATGATTAATTATGGAACGAATCGAAAATATTTGCTAAACTTTAAAAAATCGTACCGACTTTATTTGCAGAAATTAAGAAACGCCCTTTATCTTAAATTAAAGCTTAAACTTTAATCTTTAAGTTCATGTATAATAAGTAATACGTTTGGTGATAAAGTTTGTTTGTAAAATCGAAAAATGTCAATGTTTAATTATGGTAAAATCGAAAATATTTGTTAAAATTTAAAAAATCATACAGACTTTATTTATAGGAATTAAGAAACAAGTTTTATCTTAAATTAAAGCTTAAACATTAATCTTTAAGTCTATGCATAATAAGTAATACGTTTGATGATAAAGTTTGTTTGTAAAATCGAAAAATGGCAATACTTAATTAGGGTAAAATCAAAAATATTTAATAAACTTTAAAAAATCATGTATTTGTAAGAATTAAGAAACGTAATTCATTAAATGTATTACATATTATACATTGTAATAAAGTTTAAGCTTCAATTTAAGATAAAAACCGTTTTGAATTAATATTTTTCAAAATTCCCTCCAAATTACGTCACTTTAAATGGTGTCTTTTTAGCTTTTCTCATAAAATTACGAGAAGGACTATTTCTCCAATATTTTGTATAAATCATTCGATTCATCCATAATTTAAAATTATAAACAATAATAATTATAAATTATTAACAAATGATTAATAAACACTTTGAAGTAAGGAGTGAAGTTAGTTAGGGATAAAATTGAAATTTGACAGATCGCATAAAACAAAACATATTTGTCGCTCAAACTGCGTTCTGTGTCAATGTGTGACTTTAAAGTGTATTTTCGTTCGAAATTTTCGTCAAGAATCTCCAAACATCGATTCAACCCTATTTATTAACCCAAAAGAAACCCCGCTTCGAAAAGAAGTTACATCCAAGTTCTTGTAAAGCAACCTAACCTCACTTCATTTTCTTGTTTTGGCGGATTCATTCTAAATTATGTCCGATCTATCTTTTAGCGATTTTTTCGCAAAATCCAAAGAAGCCGGAGACGGTGAGTTATCATATTGAATTAATATCGTTAATTATATTGCGATTTAAATTTTGACAGTTAAAGCACAAGATCACGTGATTAATCAAATTTTTTTCTCTTGTGCGGGGGAAAATGATACGCTGGTAAATACGGATAAGTTAATTTCGTTTATTACGCCGTTTTTACACGATAATGCGTAAGTATTATTAAATTATTTTGATTAAATAATAAAAATAATTTTTTTGAAGTGAGCGCCATCTATTGGATAGTAGCGAAATTAACTAAGGTGATTTAAAATTATGATTTTTTTTAGAAGGGCCGCAACTCAATTAAGAAATGTAATTGATCCGAATAATTTAAACGAAGAAATCGATTTCGATCAATTTTACTTGTTGATGGAGACTTGGATATCTACGATGTCAGTTGGGGAAGATTTTCATCGTTCTGATTTTCATGGGGTTGATTATGGTGATTTGGACTGTAAGGATAAGGGGAAAAGTAATAAAGATTTAAATAAAACAAACCTTGAGGAGCAAATTCAAGAATTGGAGTATCAAAAGAAGAAAATGGCAGAGGAGATGGAACAGGTTAAATTGGAGCTTGCAAATAGCTTGGAAATCAACGAAAATTTGCAAGATCGTTTGGATAAATCGTTAAAAAAGATCAAGGAGGAACAAAAATTGGTGGAAAAGCTTCAAGAATCGCTCAAAAATAAAGATGAAGACCACGATGTTGAAACTGAACGAATTAAAAAACTTTATGATGGGTTACAAAAGAAGATTATATCCTTAGAAATAAAAATTGCTGGTTACAATGATGATTTGATCGAGCTACAGAATGAAAATGAAAAATTGGAGGAGAAAAACCAACGATTATTGAAGGAGAAAGATGCGATCGTTGATGAATTGTTCACGTTACAAAAAGAAATTAACGAATGGAAAGAGGATTTTGCATCACAACAAGAATTATACGCGACTCTCCACGAGGAAAAGAAAAATCTTGAAGATACCGTTGAAGAGTATTTATGCGAAATTGAAAAATTAAGATTTGAAAAAACCACTTTGGAGAGTTTATTGAATAAATCAACTTTTTCTTCGTCGTTTACTCAATCTCGTTCATTTAGTGAGTATTCTAATTGTTGATTAATGCAAGTAATTTAATATATTGAATGTGTTTTAGATAAAAGCAACAATAAAAGCGATACGAATCGTTCGATGGATGATTTGTCGAAGGAAAGCGATAGTGGGGATGAGTTACCGATTAAATTGCATTATATGGCTGCTATGACCAACACTAATGAGAGTTTACAAGAGGAAATTAGCAAGGTATAAAAAAAGTATAAAATTAAAAAAAATAGGTATAAAGCGTATTGTAGTTTTAGATTTATGTTGTATTACTTGATTGAGCTCAATTTTATCAGTCAATATCATCTTAACTGCCATAACTGCCAATATCTCAGTAACTGAGCCGAAGTCGCTTGCAGCCGAGGCAGTGTATATTATTAGTTGTTGGTAATTTAAAGGTTCTTTTATCTTGTAATAATTAACTCTCTCTACAAAAGCTTTCGACGAATTATTTATTTTTTTCAATCAACAAAATACAGTCATTTATTTTTTTATTACTAACTACGATCATATATTTAAAAAACAAACATCAAATATTGCCATGTAATCATTACCAATAATTTTAACACCCCTCCTTAATGATTACTCCACTCTCTTAACTTAATAAACTATCATAATATCATACTATTAATATTTAACATAAATATAAACCTAATCTGTTACGATTTAACTCAAAATCATACTTATTTGTCCCTTTTGTCAATATATCAGCTAATTGATTTTTTTGAACTCACATGTTCAACAACTACATCACCTTTATCTAAATGGTTACGAATAAAATTATATTTCAGGTCAATATGCTTCACGCGTTTATTGTTT